GCAGTGAGACCATGCCCAAGTGGTTGGTTTCCCTTGCACAGCCCTTTGCTTCCAAGAACTTGTGTATCTTGTTGCCTGAGTGGCTGGGCTGCAGCTTGGCAGAGCAAAAGAAGTGTTATAAGTGCAGCAACTTTACTGTGAAAAGAGGATGGTGAAAGCAGCATGTGCAGGGGTACCATGCAGGTTCTTCAAGTGCCGTGGTGGTTCTGATGGTGTGGTGGGTTTCCTAAAATACTCTCATTCTGTGCCCACTTCCACTGCTCCTCTAAAAAATAAAGTAAGTTATACCATCGTAATCAGCTCGTTTCCCATCCCAGCCACCCATTCCCACTTCAAAAAAAGGGGGGAAAACAAACAACATCAACAAAGCTGTAGACATCTCCTGTTGCTAATAACTTCCAAATGGAAACGGGTTGCAGCCTGTTCTTTGCTCTTTAACCCTTTGCCTGCTGGCCTTCCAGGAAATAATTGATGACTGATTGGCCCATTAACCCTTTTTTTTTAAAAAAATAAAAAATAAAATAAAGTTTGACAGCCTGGACTTGTGTAATGAGGAGGGATTCCTGGGGAAATCAAGTTGATGGCTGAGTTGCTTGCCCCCGAGGACGCAAAATTAGCCCCACGGGACCCCGTCTGCATAGAAACTGGACACAATTAGTGTAATATCCGGTGTTATTAATGTAGTTTGGAGTAATTGGGCAGGTTGATTTCGACAGGTTGATGGTGCTAAAATACTATTATCGTGGACCTTTCAATGAATAACGGTTAAACGTGGAAAACTGTTTTAATAAAATGTTGTGATTGGGCTCAGAGGGATTTAACCAGCGCAACCTGTAATTTCGCCAAAGAGTAAAACTGAACAGTTTCATCCTGCCGCCTGGGTTTTCCTGGGTGATTGAGGATGTTCCACGTTTGCTGTCCTTCTGGTGTAAGCACTGCCCTGTGGGGGACGTGGGGCAGGTGCTGCTGCTTTCTTTCCCAGTTGTGCTCAGCACAGAGCGTGTGGTGTGTTCGGGCAGCAGACGTGTTCCTGAACACAGCTGGCACGGCTGTCACCTGGGATGGGCTGGTTCAGGATTGGTGTGGAAAGGCTCTCTGAAGCTACCCCTGTGTACTGGTTAAGTAGGAGTTAGATACCAGGCAGTTATGCATTGAGGAGTCACCCCTGCCACGTGCACCTGAGAAATCTCCTGATGCTCTTCTGTGTCTTTGCTTCCCCACTGGGCCTCTTCACTGCTTGGAAAGGAGGTTTGGGGCATTTTAAATTCGAGGTGGCAAAAAGGCCTGTTTTCTCAAGCAGGCACCTCCTTCAGCTGCTGCCAGGCCTTGGGCTCACACAGGAATGGTGTGAAAATCTGATGCAGCCTGGAGCAGAGCTGAGGATGGGGAAGGGAATGGCTGAGGCAGCCAGGCAGGAGGTGCTGGACATGGAGGGAGGCTTAGAAAGCCTGAGCGTGGCAGGATCCCTCCCACAGGGTGTTCTGAACGTTTAGTGGCCAGCACTTGGAAATCCTCCTTTGGTAAGATGTCAGGAGTACACAGTTTGGCTGCTTAAAAGCCACTGAAAAGCCAAAGCCTGAGGAATTTCTGAAATTGGCCTCCACAGGGGCTGCTTCAGGTGGGATTCAGATTTTCCTGTTCTTTCCCTTCGCCGTTGTTCAGTGGTTTGTTCAGCTGGTGCAGAGCTCCTGCCTGTGCCCTCCCCACTGGCCCCAGGCTCCCCCCCTGACCCCTGAGTAGAAGACCATGGCTGTGGTGTCCTGCAGGAGACAGCACATGGGCCTGAGCATCATTTTCCTTCATGTTGAGTAGTTCCTCTTCCACCTTCCTCAGAAACGCTCAGAGGCTCTGTTTGATAAATGATGGTTTTTTCCCATAGTTAGTTAGAATATTTTGGATGCTGATCCCATCTGCTTGTTGTTAACACCATGTGGCTGAAGTGACAAATACTCATAGCTGTACAGAGGCATCATTTCCCTTCTCTTTCTTGTCCCACATATCCCACACACTGGCTTGTTTCTGTTTTTTAGCAAAACTGCAGCTTCATGCAGCTCATTCACCTGGAAATACCCTTCACCTCCGTGTTTATTCTCACCCCAAGGTGCAAAGTAACCTTTTTTTGAGACTTCATTAGAGCAGTGTAGGTGCTGGCCTTGCTAGCGTGGAGTTCATCAAAGAAAAGCAGCTGTCCCACAGGCTGAGGAGATGCCTGCCAGGGAGCAGCAGCACTGGCTTTACAGCTGGATCTGTCACTTATCTTGGCATGCTTCTGGGTGACAAGGTAATGCAGGAGTTTCATGGCTCTGAATAGATAATAAGTCATTAGCAGACAAGGGAGTGCAAATGCTCTTTCTAAAGCCCATTATGGCTGATGTTCACCAGAACTTTGTGCTCTATTATTTCTGTTCCTTTCATGCTTCATGCCTGCCCTTCCCAATTCCTCTTGCTCTGTTTCAGCTTCCTTGATTTTTTTTTAATTTGACTTTGGTGTCCCATGTGTAGTTAAGAGGATAGGTCCATTTAGCTCAGTTCTGCTGGCTATTTTCCTGCTCTGCAATCTTCTGGCCTGAATACTTGTCCTTATCCTCTAGGAGCCTCAGGGCTGTTTCAGTGACCCTTTCTGCCAACTCCTCACATCATTTTCTCATCTCGAACGTGAATGTTGAATAGGTTGAACTGATTTTAAGCCTGTATTATAACCCACTGCATTTGTGCTGGAGACTAGAAATTTAACATATCCACTTTTAATACATCCATGCATGTAAACAACTGCTTGAAGGGAGAGGGTAAATTGTCCAATTTTCTGTGTTGTCAGTTCTTTGTAGTGCATTCATCTTTTCAGTGATTTGTGACACACTTTGGTTTTCACAACAGCAGCTCAACTCTAAGTAGTGCTTGTTAGTCTCTTTGCGTTAGAGGCATGTATAGACTCCACACCAAACATACACAGGAAAGGAATATTTACCCAAAACAATACTTTATCTGCAGAAAAAGAGAGAGGGAAGCAGCAGTGGAGCCACAAGTTGTTTTCTGATGGAGAGTCCTGGCTATATCTTAACCTCAAACCTCCAATGGCTGGACCTGCATTTGCTTGTGACGTTGCAGAAATGCTCAAGCAAAATTACTTAGGCCTGACTATCAATATCCTTAAACTTCTCCTCTTATTGCCTGGTTTTGTTTTGGTTTTTTTCAGAACAAGAAGAAAACTTCGAGTTTATCATTGTCTCTCTCACCGGCCAGACTTGGCACTTTGAAGCTACCACATATGAAGAAAGAGACGCCTGGGTACAAGCCATAGAGAGTCAGATCTTGGCCAGTTTACAGTCATGTGAGAGCAGCAAGAACAAGGTATGGTGCTCAGAGTAATACTGAAAACAATTGGTTGAGCTTTAAAAGAGAAGCAAAGTCCAGAACTCTGGATTTTAAGCCTGTCCTCCCAGAGATGTGTGGTGTCAGGCACACCACACAGCACTGGAGCTGCAGCCACCTCTCGGATGCTTTGGGACAGCTGGTGCTGTAGCCAGTTCATTTTTTACAGCAGTGGAGCTGATGGAGCTCCTGGATGATCTTCTTTGCCTTCAGTATTGCTCTTAAAATTTTGATTGAAACTTGGGGTCAGGTCATGGAGTCTCCCTGCTGGAAAGTTGTGCAGCATGGTCACTGCTGGTTTGCTTCAGGTCAGTCTGTAGGAAGCCCTTCAAGAAAAGCCTGTCTTGGAGAGGAGTGGAGCCATCCGAAACCTAGCTCATTCAGTCAAATTTCTGCTTAACATTCTATGGGTTTGTGCCTTAACTAATGTAACAGAAAGCACATCCAGAAGCAGTTCATCAAAGGGTTCTGGGGGAAGAAGGACATGGCCTAAGATGAGGCCTCTACCTTGCACTAATTTCATAGGATGACAAAAATATTTTGTTCTCCCTTTCTGTCTAAATAAAGAAACAGAAGGTAAAAAATGGCTTGTTCAGCCATTGCTCATTTTTGGAAGGGCAGAAGTTCTGCTTCTGGAGTCTCTGTGTTTGCAAACACTTCACAACTGGAGAGCAAGGTGTTGAGTAGTTGTCCTGGTTTGGGCCCAACACGACAACAAAGGAACAGCCCCATGGCCACTCAACTTCCCCCACACACTCTGGGGTGAGGAGGACAAAGCTCCTGGGTTGAGACAAAGGACAAGGAGGGATCTTCACTGATTAAGGTCCTGGGCAAAACAGACTCAACTTGAGGAAAAAATAATAACTTAATTTCACATTAATCAAATACCCACAGGACACAGACACAGACAGAGCAGGGCTTGCACATGTCACCCCACCCCTCCCTTCTTCCCAGCTCCAAATCCCTTTGTTCCCAGTGTCTCTCCCTCCTTTCCCCCCAGCACAGGGGGATGGGGTTTAGAGTCAGTTCACAGGCTGGAGGTTCCTGCTGCTCCTTCCTCCTCAGGAAGGAGGATTCCTCACAGTCCTGCCCTGCTTTCCCACGGGGTCCCTCCCATGGCAGATCCTCCACCAACCTCTCCTCCATGAGTCCTTCCCACCAGGTCTGGAGCTGT